GACAACCTAAAGTTGTATCAGTGAATAAGAATATATTTTAAAATCACTATAGTGCAATGACCTAACTGAATGATTTAATGAAGTAATTAGGATGAATCTATTATGGTTCGGTCCTATATCCATAAATAATAGCTAGGTTTGCTGATCAAACCATAAGCACAAGCTAATTATAATTAATCATTACTCGTATATTAGCTACTTTCGAATGACTAACTCTAGTGACATGCCAAAAATGGAGTAAATTAATGGAACGCTTGTTATGTCAAATTATCAAAAATACGATAAAATTGCTTTCTGTGTATTATTTAGAAAACTATTGAGCTTGTATTGATAGTGGTTCACAAGCGCCCACACAATCCACGAATGCATGTAATAATCTTCTTTACAATTTGATTATGATTAGTTCTATATATAAGTTGATAAAGAGGGCCAATACTTGGAATTTTATCTGTTGGACATAATCAGATCGCTAATTTTGTGATAAGTGGATTTGAGTATTCAATAGTAAAAATTATTTACCAATTCATATAGACGTAAGCACGTTCTTGTCTGCCTCAATTGATTCACGAGTTAATTATGTTACACATTTGGCTACTCAATTGGGTTAATTTCAATTGCGGTACCTGAACATTAAGTGAAATATCTGTTGGGTCACTATAATTTAATTGTCTCAATTTGATCATTGAACTTAAATTAATTTTGAAATGGTGAGTCACATTTTCATCACAACTCCCAACTAATGAAAATTGCTTAGTGTCATGTGAACTCGATAGTCAACACTAGGTCACGTCAAAAAAAGTGTCAAAATAAAAAACAAGAATTTCAACATTTTCTATCGTGGCCCAAATGTCTCATTATATTTTAGCATATGTTTAGCTCATGTTTATAATTACCTATGTTTCGAATCACTTTTATTCACACGTTTTGAAGCTCTCAAGTACTTACTTAACCATTACTTATTTCTATTTATTTATATTTTAAATCGTTCATAAATACTTCACTTCCCCAACATCCTCTTATACGTTAAATGGATATTTTTCATTTGGACACTTTTTTATTATGGCTTACATCATGTTTGGTTGGACTTGTTATTAAGAAAGTAGCCAGTTTCGGCAACAGTTTATTATGGGGATTATTTTGGCAACAGATCCTAACTAAACACCAAAAACAGGCAAGAATTGACTTCTTTCATGAAAAGAAGCCCAGCAAAACAGGGTTATAAGGTTGAGTTGGGTAAGTCACTGGGTCAAATCGAGAAATAGTTGAACGAGTGATGACATTTATGAATCTAAGTTAAATTTCAAATGTGTATTACAAATTATTAAGATTTTAAATAAAATTCAATGACCGTAAATGCAATTCTTTTAAATTAATTAATATGGTAAAAGAATAGAATTGTATTGGTTTGATGCTAATTAGTTAGTGGTATCTGACTAGTGACATTAATTATTTTGTAAAGAAAGCAACATTCATAATCTCACATCTCTTGATAGCATAAATCGAACTTGCAAAGTGCAAAAAAAATTTAAAAAATAAAAATAAAAATAAAATAGGGCCCAGCTAATTAGCTCCAACAATACCAATTTCACTATTAATAACTAAGTTAAGTTAATTGGAGTGCACTGATGGTAAATTCGACTATATATGGTTAAATTAGATGTTCTAGATTACACAAAGACTCCATGACCTTTGCCTCTATTAATGAATATCTTTGTATGCTTTTAGATTGGTTAAAACCCCTCTATATGATCTTTTAAGTACGGAAGATCTCTTGCCGTCCAAGTCGCTACTGGAGCCAATAAACCCATTCAATGAGGATCAAAATGAATAATTTTAAAAAGGCAATATAGTCTTTCCTAACCCCTCCACTTATGAAGGCACTATTTTTCTGGGAATACAACCAAAATTGATAACATTTTTTTGTTATTGGGTCCTTGGTTCACTAAATGACAAAATAATGAGGAAGCCCTTCACCATGCATAGGGGGATTGAATTATCACTCGCCTATTTCCCTTTCTTCAACTTTATATATTATTAATTTAGGAAGAATTTTGTACGATACACTGTGAATAAACAATACCCGTACAGTGCATTATCTGCTCTTATCAAGTCTATTGCGATTATTAGATAAATTAAAGTGACATTTTGATGGATTCTTCAACACCATATTTGTAACGATGTGAATCCCTGTACCCAAGCCGTTAGTTTACATACTGTCCGCTTTCGGTGGGTCTTTCGCCTACTTATCCGTAACGGCTTTTTGTCACGTCCCCCAAGATTCAACTTAAGTGTTACTTAAGGGAAATATTATGAGTTGTGAATTCTTGAGGACACGACAGAAAGCCGTTAGGGGTAAGTGGACGTAAGGCCCAACCAAAATGGACATTATGTAAGCTAACAACTTGGTTACAGGGACCCAGGTCGTTACATGTCTTTAGAATGATTTCCATGCATGTATTTATTGTTGACGTGAACATTAAAGGTAGGAAATAAAAAAAATATTGCTGTCTTGCATTATATCTCAAGCAACAATTGTCAAAATAAACTAGTTTGCATAGTTATCAACTCCGAAACTTCATGAAATTTTAATATAAGGTAGGAAGCTCCTTATACTATGATATACCCAAAATTTGACTTCCGTCTACAATGTATGAGTTATTAAAATATTTTTTTCAAAACCTCGTACAACTCGGTCAGAAGGTGTGGTTTACTTAAAATGACATATAAAATTCCACAAATATCGGAATAACATGATTTTAACTTTATTCAGTAGCTAGTCCATAAGACTATCAAACTCCATTGGTTTCATCCAAAAATTTCAAGTAATGATTGAGTTATGAATTTTTGAAGTTGAGGGTAGAAGCAGAAAACAGCAACACTATCCAGTGTAATTTACATTTAGTTGACATATAAAATTCTAATGACACTAGATTAACATGATTCCAAGTTTATTTAGTAGCTAACCTATGAGACAGCCCCAATTTGAATTCCTTTTAGGTATCTTGTTGGATAATTTACAGAATCTCCATTACACTTCACACCTCGGAACGCACCGTTCTTATAGAGATTTGCGCTTTCATATCCGAGAAAAGAAGTTCACAACCTGTGGGCCTTCTTCTACCTCCATGCGGCATTATTCCGTTAGGCTTTCGCCCCCGACCCATCAGCGTATTTTTTTGTTTTATGCCCCGTAACTCTTCCTCAGCCAGGCTTGGACAGAATAGCAAAGCAATGCCATTGGTACTGTCTAAAAATTCCAAGTAACGAGTGAGTAACAAATTTTTAAAATTAAGTCAGAAGCCGAAACGCTAACACTTTTTTTGCAGCAATATTTCACACCAAAAATTAATTTTTTGACCGTTATTTCACTATTTCAATCATTATTTTTTAATTCTTCACTCACCAGTGGGACCTACTTTTCTTTCTAACGGTTAAAAATCAATTCTCATTAATCAATATCGAACAAACCCACAATGCCCATAGAAGTCTATTTAAAAGAAAATGTAAACATTTCGTAATCAAATTAAAGACTAATCACCGGCTTCTCCATGGCATGTTGCATCTCTATCTACCATCATTCATACCCCCAAGCAAATCAAATCAATCTATACGAAGGGAATTAACCCATGAATTTGAAATTCAATAGATATCATCGGTGCATTTCGTTATTGATTTAGATAATTCGTACGTAGATGGAATTCTGACAAAATTCAATTTTTATGACATTACCATTTGTGGAAGAACGAGCACAATCGCATATTTGGAACGCTTGGATTGCCGGCATTCGAAGAATTGAGCTTAACTTTTTCATACGGTGTCCGTTTTTGGCCCATAAGTACTTTTCGAATATGTAGCGACCATTTTAGATTGAACTCACTGCTTCGTCGTGACGTATGATGGATTTCAGCCGTTTGTGGAAGAACGAGCACAATCGCATATTTGGAACGCTTTGGATTGTCGGCGTTCGAAGAATTGAGTATAACTTTTTCATACGGTGTCCGTTTTGGACCCATAAGTACTTTAAGATAAGATTCCTTAGGGTTTGATTGAAATCTAGCACATAAGCATACACTAAAATTAATATTGGGTCTACTTGTCGTTAAATAAAAAAGTCACACAATCATTCCTCGATATTTAGTTTCGTCGACGAGAGTACCTTGATCATTTTTGTCAAGCTTTACGGATGTGCTCATCGGAGTGTTCATTGGCTTTAGGTCATCCATTTCGAACCTCTTGCGCATGTCTAATATGTTCTTATTTTGATTTATGAATATTCATTTACTTATTTGTTTAATTTGAAGGCCAAGAAAGAAACTTAAGTTCTCCCATCATACTCATTTCAAATTTCATGCACATGCACTTTGAAAATTCTTCACAAACAGACCCACTGAAATGCGTATGAGTTCCGGAAAGGGATCCCCTGAATATTGGGTAGCTGTTGTTAAACCAAGTTGAATACTAAAGGAGTAACTGAAAATATATCTAGAAAGGCTATTCCAGTAGAAGCATCCAAAATGCCTATACGAACTCAATTCATTATTTTAGGATAAAAATGTAGAACCAACAAAAATGAATCATTAGCTGCACCAAAAATAATGTCATCAACATAAATTTGAACGATAAGCAAGTTTTCCTTATGAGTTTTAACGAAAAGTGGAGTGACCGCTTTTCCAATCTTGAAGCCAATTTGAGAGTAGAAATTTGCTCAAACATTTACAATAATGCTCTGGGGTGCCCAAAATGCTGAGGTGGTATTTTTTCACCCAATTTCTCGCCACAAGTGGGAACAAGACCAAACAATAAAAAATGCTGAAAAAAATGTGCAAAACACAACAAATTCAAATTGAAATTAGCCCAACCGTATAGACATTTCCTTTTCATTTTCATTCACTCGTTCCCGGCAAATACGCTTCTTCATCGAAGGCGACCCCATTCCCAGCAACTCCAGTATATTCAACGTAGTCCAAAATTGCAAATTCCCCTTTCATTTTCATTCCCAGTTACCACATTGAACCCTCCCCGCTCTCGGAAGAGGCGATTGATGGCAAAGTCGACAACGTTCCCGGAGACGACGACACCTTCAATGCAGTCATCAACCATGTAATGGAAGGGCTTGTAGAGCAATTTATCTCGTCCCCCAATGTGGTAGCTGATCAAGTTGAAGGCAACATCGGTGGATTTGTAGATACCACAGGCTCAAATGGTATATTAACTTTTTCTTCTCCATTCGAAATCTCATGGTTTACGAATTAGATAACCATGTATTGAAGGAGGGTCAGTTTTGGACAACATGGTTGCTAAGATTACCGACCACGGTACGCTTTGTTCATTCGTGAAATTTGCAATTATACGTTAGTCACATAGCTAACGACAATAAATGGCCATTTTACAATATAGGAATTGTCTTGTTTAAAATACCCAATGACATGTTGAATGACTGTTTTGATAAAAAAAACTGGAATGTAGCATAGTTGTACATCACTGCATTGACTTCATTAAAATAGTTGTTTCTGCAATCTTTCACCTCATAATGGGGAACCTTATTATTGCAGGAGTGGATGATGACATTCTTGAAGGAGTGGATGTAAAGTCGTCAAATATTGTGGGTGACGACAGTTTGGCCAAGGAAATGGTAGGTGTTGAAAATGAGATAATCGTGCCTACAGTTGGTATGAAATTTGCGGATGAAACTGAGGTATTCGAATTTTACAAGAGATACGCTTATCAAGTAGGATTTCCTGTTAGAAAATGAAATACAAAGAGGGGAGATGATGAGTCAGTACGGTATGTGAGTTTTACCTGTAGTCGAGAAGGACAACGAAATCATAACAAAAGTGACATCATTGAATCCTTTACCAACAATTCAAGCTGGGTGTAAAGCTAGATTGACCGGGTGTTCTGATGCATGTGGAATACTTCAAATAAACATGGTACATTTAGAGCATAACCATAAAACAAGCCCATCTAAGTCCAGGTTGAATAGATGTAATAGGCAACTTAGTGAACATGTCAAAGGATGGCTTGAGGTAAATGACATAGCAGGCATACCATTGCATAAAAGCTTTAATTCAACTGTGGTGGAGACAGGTGGTTTTGATAATATGACATGTGTTGAGAAAGATTACAGAAACTTCATCGAGAAAGTGCGATGTTTAAGACTAGGGGAAGGGGATGCCCTTGCAATTCAAGCTTACTTCGCGAAAATGCAGTCATGTAGTCCTGGTTTTTTCTTTAGTATGGACTTAGATGATGATTGTCGACTGAGAAATGTGTTTTGGGCAGAAAAAAGATGTCGTGAAGCGTATAAGGAATTTGGACATGTTGTTACTTTTGACACCACATACCTCACGAACAAGTATAATATGCCCTTTGCTCCTTTCGTGGGGGTCAATCACCATGGGCAATCAACTCTTCTTAGCTGTGGTTTGGTTTCAAATGAATACGTTTGGTGTTTTCGAACATGGCTAGAATGCATGAATGGTCAAGCTCCTAATGGAATTATTACAGATCAAGATCGAGCTATGCAAAATGCTATTCAAATTGTTTTTCCTAAGGCGAAGCATAGATTGTCCTTGTGGCACATACTAAAGAAGTTCCCTGAGAAGTTTGGCTATCACATCGCCAAAGGTCCAATAATGCATGCTAGACATGTGTTAGTCTACGACACATTAAGCTGTGAAGAATTTGAGGATGGCTGGTTGAATATGCTTGATCAGTTTGAATTGCGAGATCATGATTGGTTGAGTGGACTCTATGAAGAGAGAAGTCATTGGGTACCATGCTTCCTGAACACTACATTTTGGGCAGATATGTCAACCACATGAGTGAGAGCATGAATGCATTCTTCGACGGCTATGTGCATTCGAAGACTTCGTTGAAGCTTTTTGTAGAGCAATATGAGCGAGCGTTGAGAAGTAAAGTGGAGAAAGAATTTCAGGCTGATTTCAGATCATTTTTGCAAATGATTCCATGTACCACTAAGTATGATATGGAGAAACAATTTCAAGATGTGTACACTATCACGAAATATAGAGAGTTCCTGAGGGAACGAAGTATGAAGTACGTGAGAATATCATTCTTAGTATCATCAAAAGAGCTACGCCAACAAAAGGAGAAAAGAATCGATGCTCGAGGTTGGAAAGAGTATTTCTCAAAGTGGCGCCGATGAAGGGAATATTATGATTTGGAAAGAAAGGGAAATTGAGTCCTAGATTTATCGGCTCATTTAAGTTTCTTGAAATGTTTGGGAATGTGGCATATTGCTTAGCATTGCCACCTGAGGTTTCAGTAGTGCACAACGTATTTCACGTTTCTATGTTAAGAAAGTATATCCCAAACACTAGTCAAAGTCTAGTGGAGTAAAAACATGGTGAGGATGGGCCTACTTGGGAAAGAAAAGAAGCCGTTTTAGCCAAGTATCCCAATCTCCTTAAAAAAGTAAGTTAAATTTCGAGGACAAAATTATTTTAAGTAGTGAGAGATGTAGCGATTGGAAAAAAATGTTGTGTTTTGCTTAAAATAAAATTTTCTTGTAGAAATCGAATATAATTTGGGTTGTATTATTACATTTCTATGATCATTCCTTAAGAGTTCAAATTAAAGCTTTGATTATGATAGTAAAGTTTTGCATAGTTGTTTTTTTAAAAATAATTCTGTAAGGTGTCGAAATCTCTTTTAGACAACAAATTTTTATTTTGTTACATTATTTTTTGACGAAACACTTTATATTAATTGCTACCTCTATTACATCCTTAAATTTTAAAATTAGATACGCTTGTATACCCAAATTCAATCCACAATTATACATATTTCAACTTACCATTTCACCATTTTTGTCAATTGTGATTGAATTTAGAAATTGAATGACACGTCCCTATTCATCCATTTGAAGACTAACATTTCAAAAGCCGTAACCCCCCACTCACATTATCTTTTACACCCACCCACCCACACACACACACACACACATAACTGCCGTTGAATTTGGAAGTTAAATGTCACATCCCTGTTTATCATTTGAAAGTCAAATTACAACTCCAATTTTGAATATTAACTCCCCACTTACATTTTAGCTTCCACTGCCAACTCCCGTTTTAATTTATTGCCAACCGTCTCCTCCACTTGAAATTTAAAACAATAACTTCCTACAACCCCCACTACAAGAAATATATATTTTCCCTACAAAATTTCCATAGACAAATTGAGATTCATTTGCGGAATTCACTTTTCCCCAAAGAAAAAAACTGTTTTGAAGGTTATGTTTTAATTCAAAAATTTTCCGTATTAGAGAAATTCGTGCCCACAAAAATTATATCTTTCCCCAACAAAAAATTTGTCGGGAAAAATATATCTTTTTCCCAACAAAAATATTAGTCCTCTTTGTAGGCTAATAGAGAAAAATTATCAATTACTATCTTTAGTTTTAGTCCCCACAAATTATATTTGAAGTTAAAAGATCATTAAAAGAAAATGTGAAAAATACATTTTTTTTAACAAAATTCAAAAATAGAAACGCTCATCATCAGTCATCAGACTCATCACACACGTAATTAGTGATAATCTCTTAGCCTCCAAAGTTTTCCCAAAAAATTTCATTCCCTCTTTTGCCGTCTTCAATCTTCTTTGCCTTCAAAAAGGTTTCCCCCAAAATTATTCAATTCCCTCCCTTTGAGAGATATGCTTAATCTGCCCAAACCTAATTTCTTCAATTCATACACAGTACATCATCATGAAATTTCGGCTTCATCTACAGATTTCTATGATATTCTTCAATTAGTCTTCTACGTATGCCCATCCCAAGATTATATCAAATATTAAAGTTTGTAGTTCATTTCATTTATATATGTAATCATCCATTGTTTGTTACCAAAAAGTCATATACTTCTAAGAAAATTTCTCCCGATCTATAGAGTCAAAGAGGAAGATGAAAATATCAGATTTGTTCTTGATGAATATGGGTAGTTATGTTGTATTGTTATTTCTATTTTGTGTATGTGTAAGGAGAATATATAGATCTCGTTTGTTTTTGTAAGATGTAGTCGTTTATGAACATTTGCATCTTAAATGCATTTGGAACATAATTTTCAATTAAGATACATGAGGGTGAACATTTCTACCTGGAAGTTGGATATTTGGTAGAAGAAACTGTACATTTATGATGTGAAAGCCATATACAAGAATCGAAAAAGGTAGATTTATGCATCTTACTAGGGTAAATTTGGACATCCTTATTAAATAGATAACTCTTGGTCTTCAACTGGTTTTGACACGATAACAGTTTGATAGTTCAACCGGACATTCTCTAGCAGGGAAATATAAAGAAATCCTCCATATGCTGCATTAGTGCACTTCCATCTAATGGATCGGAAAATATTTATCTTTGTGTTCAATATTTTTTCAACCAATTCCTTCTCATCTTTCATAAATTCACTGACAAGAACATTAGGCGTCACTTGTGCTTTGGAGTCTTTAAGTGGTAGTTTTAACGTCTAGTCATTCCCCTATTTGATGGGATTAGTAGACATAAATTCCAGAATTTCTCTTTTCTTATCTTTTGTTGCAAACAAATGTAGTATTGGTGTTAAACTTTTCGGGATGTCTAGTTGTGTAATCAATTAGTACCTGTTTTTATTTGGAAAAAAAATGAAAAGAAAGATATAGGTAAGCCACAGTTTGTTTGCTATCATTTTTAGTTAGAGAGAAAATTGTAAGCATTAATTTCGCTGTAGAAAGGCAGTTTTCTCCCGATCTAGTTAAGTTTGGGGGATTTCACTCTATTCTAATTTTCTTTTCAAAGGCTACCCTTGTTCTTTATTCATTGGCTTTTGAGAAAGAATAAAAAAAAAAAAATTCTTGCACATTGTTTCTAAATATGTCACGTTCATGGTAAGAATAATCCTTCTTCGTATTTTGAATCATTAATAATGAATAATTATTTTCTCATGTTTATTTTGACCTAATTTTTTTTATTTAATTCTCTCAATTGAATAAAAAGTTCTGATTATTAGTTAAAATATAAACGAGTGATTTATTTTGATTGGTGCTTCGATGTATCCAAGTGACTATGTGTTTATGTATGAGTATATAACTAGCTATTTAAAGTAATGGTGTCAGTTTTATTGGATTTTATGTAACTATATCATAAATGGAGAGATTGGAATTGTATGTGCAAAAGAGAGTGTGTTGCATGCATTTTTTAACCTACTGAACTGAACAAATCGATACATTTATAATTTTATAATTGAACTTTTACATTGAATTTTTGTTATGTTGACATATATTTTTGTCTATCATATCCATTGTGGGGTTATGTATATAGCGACTGCAATATGGATAGAAATTGGATACATAATCCCGATAGAATCAATACAGAATACTTGTTAGGGATTGAGGTATTTGTTAGAGTTGCAAGCAACCATGTCAATCATCGAGGTCATTCTGAGTGCCCGTGCCAAAAGTGTAATAATTGCTCTTGGCAGCTAGTGAGTGAAATTCAATAACACTTGATCATGCATGGGATGTCATACAATTACACTAAATGGAATCGTCATGGTGAACAATCGGGAACGCAACAGGTCCTTTTACCACTAACCGTTTTGCAACTCGAGTCTGAATGATGACATTAACATATCGTTTGGCCCTCATTAATTTTCATTCCATTACATTTCATTTTTCTCTCTCCTATTTTCAATCACACAATGTTCTATAAAATAATATTACACGTAAATCGAAATTTTTCCCTTCTTTTTCAATCACTCATTTTTTAGAAAAACACTATTCCACTCATTTTCATTACCACAAAATGAAGGTCAAACGGGGGCTAATTGTGATAATGATCAAGTAATGGATATAATTAATGATATGTATCCACATGCCTCACACCATAACGAGCAAAATGTATTAGAAGAAGATGAAGTATTACTTGATGATGATACATTATGAAATAATCAGACGTTGAAGATGCATAGGCAAGAGATAGATATAAGTATGAAAGGTTGTTGAAAGAAGCACAAAAAGAACTTTACCCTGGTTGTAAAGATTTCTTTGTGCTAACAACGATTGTAGAGTTGATGCAATTGAAAGTGAGGAATTTGATGAGCAGCAAATGCTTTGATGAGCTTATGGGCATCTTGAAAAGGATGCTTCCAAAGGGAAATGAATTGTCCCCTACTCATCGACATTCCCATAAAGTTTTAAAAGATCTCAGACTGGGCTATGAAAAGATCCATGCATGTAAATATGATTGTGTTCTATTTTACAAGGAAAATGAAGGGTTAGATAAGTGCTCCATTAGTAACGAGCCAAGGTATCTAAATAGTTCAGAAGATAAGAAAAAGATTCCTCAAAAAGTATTACGTTATTTTCCACTAAAGCCGAGATTATAACGACTATACATGTCAATGCGTACTGCTAATGATATGAAATGGCACAAGGATAGGCGAGTTGATGATGGCGATATGAGACATCCAGCAGACACAATTGCATGGAAAGAATTTAATAAGAATTATCCCAATTTTGCATTAGAGTCACGATATGTAAGATTGGGCCTTGGAAAGGATGGTCTCAACCCATTTGGGGATATGAACAAACCTTATGGCCAGTGGTGGTTGTTCCTTATGATTTGCCTCCTTGGATGTGCATAAAAAAGGAATTCACCATGCTAACCTTATTAATTCTTGGCAAGCAAAAATCTAGTAAGGATATTGACGTTTATTTGTGCACGCTAATTGATGAGCTAAAAGAATTATGGGAAATTGGTGTGCATACTGCTGTGTTGTGGACTATTAACGATTTACCTACTTACAAAAATTTATCAGGATGGAGT